TTTAAGAGAGACAAAGCGCTGGTCTAGTGAGAGCAGGGGTCTAGCTCAAACCCGGACACTGCCACGTCCACCTAGCCGCAGAGCCTGCCTTGAACTCATGGGCAATCAATATCCATTTGTCCCTGGGGGCCAGGGTCAATCAGGGCTCAGCCTTCATCACATTCCCCAAATACACCACACGAAGCATAACGAGCACTCAAATTCTACTAAATGTTTTTGGGGAGATGTAAGAGGCTAACACTTTTTAGGGGCATATTTGTGGGGGTTCAACCAAGAGGCAGAACCACTAAGATGTGCATTTCCTGTGCCATTGCAGGGGCTGGTTCAGCAACCCCTATAAGCTGTTGTCTTCACGTGTGATGCAGGAGCATGAGGTCTTCAGTGGGAGGCGGTTGGGAAGAGACGAGGGATGTTGGGCGCAGGAGAGCAAGAACTAGCTGGAACCCCCACGTCTGAGCGGTGGCACCCATGAGGACAGACTGAAACCGACGTCATTGTTCTTGCCTCTGACTCTAATGGTGTCCTGCGGGGGCCCTTCCACAAGGAACTGAAGACACACCTCTGGCCAGGATTGGAGACGCTCAAGGACCACCTAGGGAAGTTCCAGCAGGTGCAGGCCCGTGGCTGCTTCACACCAAGGAGGTGAGTTGGCAGATCGAGAACACGAGAGCATGCTAGCAAATGGCTGCCACTTCATTTCCTCCCTTCAGACCTGCCGGGACACTCTCTCCTGTGGCCCACCCTGAAAAGAAACTGCTGTAAAGGAAGTTCTGGGAAATGTAGTTCATCTTGGTTTAATGGATATGTTACAGAGCTACCACCAGGGGGCAGAAGAGTTGACCCCCAAACCCAGAGAATTGGATTGGGATGGCATCAAATCGATAGATTCAGCATCTTAATACTGAGTCTTCAGATCCACAAACACGGTATCTTTCCCCAGTTATTTTGGTTTTTTTTTTAACTTTCTCTTGGTAGTGTTTTATAGTTTGCAGCGTATGGGGCTTATACAACTTTTGCAAGATGATTTCAAATGCTGTTTTCAGAGACAGATTTCTGGTGCTATTACAGATAACAGCAAATACTTCTAAAATGTAAACTATGGGTCAGGTGCTCTTAATAATACGTGTAGCTACAAATACAAACAAACCCACTGAAGCCTCTCAACCACCAATAAGCGGGTTCTATTATTATCTCCATTTTACTAACATATGACAGGACCGAATCACGGAGGTGCTAAATAACTTGCCGAACGCATAATCCGGTGAGTAGCAGGGGCAGGATTGGAACTCAGGCAGCTGGCTCCAGGGTTCCTACTCCCATCACTGCCCTATATTACTTGGTAACAGCTACAAGTGTTCACAAAAATGTCCAACAGTAGAGAACATCAAGACTGATATTTTGTGGCCGGGCGTGGTAGCTCACACCTGTAATCCTGGCACTCTGGGAGGCTGAGGTGGGAGGATCGTTTCAGCTCAGGAGTTCGAAACCAGCCTGAGCAAGAGTGAGACCCTGTCTCTACTAAAAATAGAAAGAAATTAGCTGGACAACTAAAAATATATATAGAAAAAATTAGCCGGGCATGGTGGCACATGCCTGTAGTTCCAGCTACTCAGGAGGCTGAGGCAGGAGGATCGCTTGAGCCCAGGAGTTTGAGGTTGCTGTGAGCTAGGCTGACGCCACGACACTCTAGCCCGGGCAACAGAGTGAGACTGTGTCTCAAAAAAATAAATAAATGAAAAAAAAAGGCTGATATTTTGTAATGTCAGACTTTACTCCCACGTTCGAATTAGTTGAACTAGTTCTTTGACACAGCAAGATCTCTCTCACTAAGTTGCTGCAGGAGATAGGGGACATTTTCAACTCTACCTTACAATAATTTGTATCTATGAAGATTTGCAAATTTTTCAGAATGAGGCTATGGAACTTCATTAGTTAGCAGGAAAGCCAAAAGCAGGCTGGTAGAGCTAAATTTTACAGGAAGGGAGTGAGGGTAAATAGAATTTCCCTTAAAAACAGTTTTAAAAAAATATCGCTTTAATCTGCCGCCAGCAATAAGGAAAATACAAATTAGGACGAATACAGTACCCTGTTGCCACACTAGATTGGAAAAGATTAAAGAGACTGAAGGAACAGGTAAATGAGTGATGTTCTGCAGGAAGAATACAGTTCCGGTGAAGCCAGGCTCTGCTGGCCACCATCCTCACGTCCTCCTCTGCCCTGCCAGGGTCACCATACCCAAAGCCAAGTGCCTGTGCAGTGCATTCATGGATGGCACTCTATGTGGCCTGAAAGCCATTCTGCAACTATAGGAAACAGCATGGATGAACCTGCAGACACCAGGCCGAGTGACAGAAGGCAGACACAAGCACTGCACGCCTGCATTTATAGAGAGTGTAGGAAAAGCTAAACCAACTTATTGCGTTAGAATTCCAGAGAGTGGAAGTCCCAGGGAAGATGGGAGCGGGGGAGGGGACAGGGCAGAAGAGGGCTCCAGAAGTGCTGGGATTTTCCGGGTTTTGATCCAGGTGCTAATCACACGTGCGTTCATTGTGGGAAAACTTATAAATTGTGCACTTACTGTTTGTGCATTTATCTGCATGTACATGATGCCTCAATTAAAAATATCCTTAAAATAACACATTTAAGACAATAATGTGTGATAAGGTGCTGGTTCCATGTAAACAGCACCGCAGATTTGTTTGCGTGCACATCTGTGCCGAGTTCAGAGAGCAAGGTCTGGCCAGGCACACTCGGCTGTACCAGAGGGCACCTCTGCAGAGGGCTGGTGCGCAGCGGGTAGGATTGGGGTCAGGGAGCAGGAGACGGACATTTCCTTTCTCACTCTATTATTATAAATTGCTTGAGTGTTAAGAACCTAGTTTGGTTCATGTGTATAAAATGCTTTTTTACAATATACAAGATGGATTTCTAATGACCATTGTTATCGTGGTAACAAATGTGCTCCACCATTGCCAGGACTCCCCCCTTCCATGAGACCCCATTGATGTCCAGGGACCCAGTCTCTGAGGGGACATGCAGAGCCAAAGGCCAATCGGGCTCAGAGACCTGGCGAGATGCAGGAGTCGAGGGGCTCAGTCCGTTGACCAAGATGCCCTCTCTTTCCCGGGATGGGCGGGGTTGGCTGTCAGAGAGCGGAGGGACCAGTCAGCCCCTCCGGTACCAACCGAGCATGGACGCGGGGGTGGAGCGAGAGTTCACTGCTCTCAACGAGCAAAGACAAAAAGACAGGCTCTAAATTTCCGTGAGGGGCCGGGGAGGACAGCAGGGACCCAGAAGGGTATCTGCCCGGGCTGTGTTGATCCCGGGACACAGCTGGGCAACCAGGGTGACATCTCAAAGAAAGGCTTCTTCAGGCCATGGTCACGTGAGATGACCCACACCAGGTCACCTGGGGGATGAGGCCCAGCGGGTGGAAGGAGAAGCTACAGGCCCGGAGTCCTGCTGGGTCAGAGAGAGACAGAGAGAAGTCAGGTCTGCAGCTGGGGAGCCTGGGAGGGAAGGAAGGAGGCAGCGCAGAGGAGGGGAGGGGTGGAGCGCTCTGGGCAGGTGAAAAGATGCAAAGGAGACTTAGGAGGAGAGAGGAAAGGGGGAGGGCTGCAAGCAGGGAGGAGGGGGGACTGGGGACAAAGCTGAGCAAGCTGAAGCTGAGGGAGCTCAAGGGAAGGGGAGGGAGGCGAAGCTGCGGAAAGGCTGGGAAGGGCACCCAGACGGCCTTCAAGCTCTCAGGACAGGGCCAGGCTGGAAGGGCTTTGCCAGGTGGTCCGCAAAGTCCTCCCAGCATTGCTCAAGCTGCGGGGAAAGAGGCAGAGGCCATGCGCCGACTGGCAAGCAGGAACCTCCCCAGCACCCCGCCCTCAGCCCAGCGTCCCCTCCACATGGACTCTGACTCTTGTCCTCAGCATCCCCTACAGTCCTCACCCAGGACCCTCCTCCCACTGTCCCCAGCCACCCTTCCAGCCCAAAGCCTCCCCCTTGGGGTTCACCAGGGGAACCCCCACCAGGCAGCTGACCAAGGGCCCCAGTCCCGCGCAGGGGCTGCTGCCATTGCTGGTCGGTAGCCGCGGGGGCTGCAAACAGCCTTGGGCTGACACTGCTGTGCTCATCAGGAATCTGATCACTGTCTGGGCTCATCCAGGACAAGGGCTCCAGGAGATGTCCCAGAGGACCCGGTGCACTTCCAGCTGCTTCAGAATGTTCATGGGGAATATGTGACAAGTTTCCACATGGTCAGACTCCTGAAGGCAGGGGAGGAGGGGAGGGGAGGAGCGGGAGGTTGGGTGATGCGCAAGCGAGACGGGAGGTCTCCAAGCTCCCCTTCCCGAACCCTGTTCTCTCCCCAGAAGCAAGCAAGGAAGGCTGGTTCAGTCATTCATCGATTCCTTCATTCATTCGACAACAACCCTTGAGCACCTACTCAGGGCCACAACTTGGGCAGGAACCCGTGACACAAGGATGGACCTCCCTCTTTCCTACCTCCGGAGATCACCGTGTATGGGACCCACGGTGACCCCCCCGCACAGACCCCCTCCTCTACTGCCTGTGAGCTCGGCGGTCTGGACTTTTGCTCCACCAGCTGCGTGCGGGTACTTCACCCTGAGACCTGCAGTCAGGCCAAGGGGCTGTGCCCCAGGGACAAGGTCGGTCAGAGGGAGGTGGGAGAGCCCCCGGCAGGTGGGTGCAGGGTGGCAGGGTGTGCGGCAGGTGGCCATGGTGGCTGCTCTGCTCCCAGGACTGGAGGGGATGGCTCTGGCTACCTAGTGGACCGGTGTTGGTCACACCCACCACTGTCATCAGGGAGACCTGTGATGGCGATCGTGTGGGTGCTCCGAGGGTGGCCCCAACTCCACGCTGCAACACTTTTGGTCTAAACTTGAAGGGAAGAAGGAAACTGCTCTGGGAGCTTCACTTTCCTCTGTCAATCTGCTGTGTCCATGTCCGTCCCTGGCGAACACCGGGTGGTGACGGACATGGGTGTCAACCATCCGCCTGCTCCAGGCAGTAGCTTAGGCAAGTCTTGAGCCACTTTTTGGCCGGTTGTAGGATTTCATAGTTGAAGCTGAGGTCCTCGGCAGACATCAGCATCTGGAGGTCACAGAGGGGAGAAAAAAGGAAGAAGCAGAGAGCTCCCCCGGGACCCTTGCAGGCACTTGTTTGTCTCCTGTCCAGAGGGCCGAGTGGCGGCGGGAGCTGGCACCACCCTGCCCTGACTCAGGACACGTGAGGTGTGGGTCTGGGCTCTGCCCAGAAGCCCTGGGAGTTGATCGGATACTAGCCTTGGTTTTCTGGACTGGGGCATAGACTCACCTTCATCTCTGCTGCCTCAGGGCAGGTCATCCAGGTGACGCCACCCTGGGTGGCAAAGACCAAACTCCAAAGGGAAGGACGGGTGCAGGCCAGCCCCATGCCTGTTTCCCAGCGCCTGCTCCAAGCTCTGCGCAGGGCAGGGCTTTTGCGTATCCAAGCGAAGTGTGAGGGTGGAGTCTGGCCTGGGAGACCTGCACCGGCTCTCACCCCCCCACAGAGGAACGGGGCAAAGGATTATGGCATCTCCGCTGCACACTCCAGCCAGGGGCTGTGCCCTGAGCAGTGCACGTGAGTGTTAGCGTTTTTCTCACCATCCTACAGTTAAGGGGGTGCCGAGGCAAAGCCACACGGGTCGTGACAGAGGCGTTGGTAAGAAGGTTCTGTCTGCCCCGCAGCCTGGGTCCAGGCTTCCTTCTGGTGCTGCCCAGGGTCCCAGCAAGCCTGCACTAGGACCTGTGACTTTGTCCCGTCTACACTGCATGATTCCCTACTTCAGTATTGAGGGGTGCGCCTTACCTTGGGTTTGGCCCCATTGTTCCCGTCCTGAGTCCTCCCTCTCCCAGTACCTCCCCGGCCCATCCGCAACCTGCTCCCAGAGAGAACCGGCCCTGCAAGGGCCCCAGGCTGGATGTCGCACATGGAAATGCTCACCCATGAGACTGACTCTTCTGATCCTCCCTGACCCGGGCCACTCCGACAAATGTGGCTTTTCCTCATTTCACTCTCAGGGCTCGAGTGGTGGGTGGGGGCGACATTTATGCTTCACTCTTCTCCCCATATTTACTTTTATGTCCCTTTGCCATGGAATTTTGACACTTTTCCCACCAAGGGGTGGAGTCTGTTTTTTGTCCCCTTGAGTCTGAGCTGGCCTGCGACTTGTACTGACCGATAAAATGCGGTAGAAATGACGTCGAGTGACTTCCGAGGCTGGGCTGTGAGTAGCTGCGCGGCTTCTGCTTTTGCATTCTTGGGGTGTGCCCGCCCGTGCAGGGGACCAGACCTGCTCTCCCACATGTTAAGAGATCAGGCGGAGAGAGAGAAACCCCCACCAACAACCTGGCCAAGACCCAGACGTGGGATGAGGGTGCCCCAGAAATTCAGTCCAGTCTCCCATACCTGATGGCAGCCACATTAGTGACGCCAGGGGAGACCAGCACAGACTGGAACGACCAACCCACAAAACTATCACAAGTATTAAAAGCCATTTTTGTTTTAAGCCACTACATTTTGGAGTAGTTTGGGGTAGTTTATGAAACAGCAATAAATAACTAAAACAAACAAAAAAAATAAACACTTAGAAATGCCATAACTCAACCTTAACATATGTGATACAGGAGTTCCCCTGGTCAACCTTGGCCCGAAAATATTAAATGGAAAGTTCCAGAAATAAACAATCCACAAGTTTTAAATTTCATGCCATTCCAAGTAGCATGATGAAGTCTTGCACCGTCCTGCTCCATCACGCCTGGGACGTGGACCATCTGTGTCCAGCATCTCAACCCTGTGTGGGCTCCCGCCCGTTGTCACTTAGCACCTGTCTCAGTTCTCAGAGCGATGGTCGTGGTATTGCAGTGCTTGTGTTCAAGTCACCTGTATTTTACTTAATGGCTCCAGAGGCAAGAGAAGGGACGCTGGCAACTTGGACATGCCAAAGAGGAGCACAGGGTGCTTCCTCTAAGTGAAAAGGTGAAAGTTCTCCACTTAAGGAAAGAAAAAAATTTTATGCTGAGGCTGCTAAGATCTACAATAAAAATGAATCTTCGATCCATGAAATTGTGAAGGAGGAAAAAGAAATTCGTGGTAGTTCTGCTGGTACCGCATCTGCCTCCTCCCTCCCTTCTCTCCCTGGTCCTTCCCTCCCCTCTGCCCAGAGCCTCCTGTGTCCCCCCTTCCTCTGCCTGTCCTTGTCACTGTCCCTAGACCTCCTGTCTGTGTCATCTCTCTGACTCTCTCACTCCTGCTCCGTTCAACCTCTCCTGCCCTTCCAGCCCCAGGGGCACTGACAGACGGGGCAGTGTCTCCACAGCAGGCTCCTCCTCAGGGCGTGGCTGTGCTCATCCAGCCCCTGCCAGGGCTGGAAGCGCCTTCCCTGGTGGTCCACAAAGCTGCTCCAGCAGTGCCCAAACTCTGAGCCGCAGAATAAAACACCTTCTTTCAGGAAACGTAAAGTGCCAGTCACCACGATCTTCAGATGATCAGCAGAGACCAGTAAAGGCAATCAGCTCAGGGGAAATACATTTAAAAAAATCAGAGTTAAATTACTTTTAATTGTAAGTGTATCTTACGGTTCAAACATACATTATATGCAGTCATGTCCAATACTACTAGAATGGTTTTCAATTTATTAATGAAAATATTGTTTTAATTGGTTTCAAATCAATAAAATTTTATTCCAGATCAATAAAATGAAATACGGTTGACCCTTTAATGAGGTTGGGGTCAGGAGCATGACCTCCTCATGCAGTAGAAAATTCATATACAATTTCAACTCCCCCAAAACGTTACTACTGATAACCTCTTGCTGGCCAGAAGCGTCATCAATGACATAAACAGTCCAATAACATATATTCTGTATGTTACTAACATATGTATTATATATATTATTCTTACAATAAAGTAAGCCAGAGAAGAGAAAATGTTAAGAAAATCATAAGTTGTAAGCTGTACTTCTGTTTTAAAAAAAGAAAAGAAAGAAAGCCATAAATAGAGAAAACATATTTACTACGCGTTAAGTGGAAGTGCATCTTTGTAAATGTCTTCACCCTCATGTCTTCCGAGCGCTGGTCCTGCTGCCCCGGGAGTGGCGGAGGCAGAAGAGGTGGAGGAGGTGGCGGGGGCGGCAGGAGAGGCGGGCACGCTCGGTGTCACTGTACGGAAATACATTGTAGCTTCTCTCTGACTTTTTTCCTTTTTCATTCATCTGGTTTCAGTTCTCGCTCCACCGTTTGCTTTCCTTTCAGTGCCGGTATCACAGAGGGCTCCGTGTCATTAAAGAAGCCAAAAGCAGTCTTGGCTAACTGGACCCTCTGCCACTTTGCACGACGCCGGTTTGTTTTCCGGAACTGCTCCTTCCGTGCCGTCTTCCTCCCACTCACCTCTGTCAAGTCGTCTTCTGTCAATGCCTGGGGCGTGGTGTCTGTTAGCTCCTGACTTTCCTTAAGATCCATATCTTGAAACTCTTTACCCTGCACTTTTTTTTGCCATATCCACAATCTCTTTCATGATTTCATCGCTTGGCTGCTATGAAGTCACACAGGACATCTGGACAGTTTTCTCCGGCAGGAATTCATTCTTTCGGATTCGATGGCTTTCATGCCTTTTTCTAATAACATACAACGATGGCATCTTCAATGGTGTAACCCTTCCAGACTGTCATGATGTCCTCTCTCCCTGCGGGGGTTCTCTCGTAGCATTGACAACCCTTCCCTTACGTTACCACATATAATGAGTCTGAAAGGTCCTATGACCCCTGATCTAGAGCCTGAATTGGAGACGTTGTGTTTGGGGACAAATAGATCACTTCGACGCCTTTGCTGTTGAACTCATGACGTCCTGGGAGGCCAGGGCCATTGTTCAGTATCAAGAGAACTTTAAAGGCAGTCATGACTGGCAAGGGTATTTCCTGACCTCGGGGATAAAGCATCCATGGAACCAATCCAGAAAAATGGTTCCCGTTGTCCAGGCCAAAACTCCAAAAGCTGGTGTTAATGTCTTCCCTTCAGGGCTCGGGATTAGCAGTTTACAGACAAGGCTGTTCTGGTCATAAGCGCAACTGCATTAGTACGAAACGGTACAGTTAGCCTGTCCCTTCCTGCCTTGAATCCTGGTGCTCACTCCTCTTCCTTACTAATGCATGTCCTTTGTGGCATTCTTTTCCAGCATACAGTGCCTTTGTCTGCATTGAAAACAGGTTCCGGGCCAGGCGCTTGGCCTATAATCCTAGCACTCTGGGAGGCTGAGGCCGGAGGATCGCTCGAGGTCAGGAATTCAAGACCAGCCTGAGCAAGAGCGAGACCCCGTCTCTACTTAAAAAAAATAGAAAGAAATTATCTAGACAACTAAAAATATATGTAGAAAAAATTAGCCGGGCATGGTGGCACATACCTGTAGTCCCAGCTACTCGGGAGGCTGAGGCAGAAGGATTGCTTGAGCCCAGGAGTTTGAGGTTGCTGTGAGCTAGGCTGACGCCACAGCACTCACTCTAGCCTGGGCCACAGAGCGAGACTCTGTCTCAAAAAAAAAAAAAGAAAAGTAAACGGGTTCAGGCAGATGTCCTTTCTCCTCAGTGATTTTCTTTTTTCCGCCTGCCTCAGCCTCCCAGAGTGCTAGGATTACAGGCGGGAGCCACCACACCCGGCCAAAAGCTGCACTTTCAACAGGAGATAAAAAGATAGCTCACAAGAAGCGCAAGGGTTTTTGCTCCTGCTGGCACAGCCTCAGCGATGGCTGCGTGAATTTCCTTTTCTTCTTTTTACAGTGGTCTCTGTGCTGGACCCCCTTGTCTTGCAAGGCACATAGCAGCAATTCGGACTCTTCTCGTGATGACATGACTTTGCTTCTTGGAAGCACTTCCGGCATCACCAGTGGCACTTCCGATGGGTCCCATGGTGTTGATAAAGGTTTTCTGTATTGCACTAGACGTCATGACAAATACATGATGGCCATAAGAGATTACTTTTTTTTTTGACAAGACCTCGTTCTGTCACCCAGGCTGGGGTGCAGTGGCGCGATTATAGCTTACTGCAGCCTCAAACTCCTGGCTTCAACAGATCCTCCTGACCCGGCCTCCCAAAGTGCTGGCATTACAAGCATAAGCCACCGGGCCTGGCTGAGAGATCGCTTTTCACAGTGATACAAACTTCCTGGAGAGAGAGTATTAGCATCACAGAAAGGTTTAAGTGGATACTCGGATACTCACTCGCAACACTGGAGCTCACGCAATAGCAGCAGGAGGCGGCTACCAAGTGATTGCGGTAGGACCGTATTGCTGCAGGTGATTTTCCACAATAACACAATTACCACTTAACACCACATCTTTCCATTTGTTCACATTCCTGTGGACTGGGAAAGGTACCGAGTACACTCTGTGTTTGTGTGTT